CGTGACGACTGCCAGACGAGACTTTAAAGTTGTGTCAGACAGTGAGGATTTGCTCGAATTTGTCAAAGAAAGGACTTTGGATAAAAAGGTAGAATATTAAAGTTAATTTGTTTGAATTGTAGTGCTGTAGTTTATAATGCTTTCTTGTACATAATATGATCTTTACTTATGCAGATATTTAATTACTAGTGAAGGAAAATAGTGAGCAAAACTCCGAAATTATTGACCGAGATTGGTGCAGAGAGAATCAATTACCCGAAGAGACGCGATGCAGATTGGAAGGTTCGAAGTACATGGCGCGTTGGTTATTAGGATTGAAAACTAACGTACTGTCAGTACAAAAGACGGTCAGAACGCTGTATGCTTTCATGGTGAACAAAGGTTACTTGTTGTCTCAGGGACGCTTGAGGAAAGCTGAAATGAGTTGGTTAAGATTACAAGTTGGTTACTTAATGTTAAAAATATGCGAACGAAAGGGTGATCAATTCACTGCAGAACATATAAATATACAGGCTGTTTTGAAAAAAGTATTTAGGATTTATATGGTAAGATAGTACCTACATACTATACTAAGTAAGAAAGTCTTATAGATCAAAAATTGATTTTCAGATATAAACAATTTTATACGTTAATATTTTACTAGGTTTTAAGAACTACTAGTGAAGGAAAATAGTGAGCAAAATTCCGAAATTATTGACGGAGATTGGTGCAGAGAGGATCAATTACCCGAAGAGACACGATGCAGATTGGAAGGTTTGAAGTGCATGGCGCGTTGGTTATTAGGATTGAAAACTGACGTACTGTCAGTACAAAAGACGTTCAGAATGTTGAATGCTTTCATGGTGAACAAAAGTTACTTGTTGTCTCACAGGGACGCTTGAGGAAAGCTGAAATGAGTTGGTTAAGATTATACAAGCTCTTCCGTGGGAGGTACGGCCTTGTCGTGACACGGGAGCTCACCCTGAGGTACGTGGAGGGCCTCCGGGTGCTAACAGTACCTCGTACGGCTCTTACCGTTAAATAGAGAAGTCCTGTACACTGGGTCCGGTTCCCCAAGGGGTGGCGGGGTGTTCTTTGGGACGCCCCGTCTCCCTGGAGGTCCCACGTCCATCTAAGGGCGTGGGCCCCAATGTGCCGGTAGGGGTTAGCGGCCCTGATTGCAATCACCCGGGGTCCAGGCTCCGTTAGGGGGACGAATGGTCACTGCCCTGGAGGGGGAGGGGGGGCACGGAGGCGCCTGCCTGCGACTCCCGTTTCCCCGGGGCCCGCTTCGATCCCCTTATGGGGGCCGGGGCGGTTCCCGGGACGACGGGGGGAGCGAAGTGGCGACGCCGGTGCTCCGGCAGGTGGGAGCGGCCGTGGCTGGGTGCTCTTGGCCACGGCCTGTCCCCATGCCAAGGGATGGGGTGGGGGGTATTAACCTCCCCTCATTGCACGACGGCCGGGGGAGGACCTTGGTCCTCTCACCGGCGCCTGGGGTCTGGGGGGTCGTTGACTGCGGTCGGCGGCGCGCCCGGATCTCAGGCCAGACGGGCTTGAGCCTGGGCCCTGCGTGCGTCTCCCGCCGGCTTAGGCCGGGGGAGGGATCACAGGGCGGCGGATTGACGAACGGACTTTATGACAAGGACCGGTACTGAGATAGACCCCGACCAAACGGACGGACGGAAGGACTCAAACGAGCTGTACGATGGAGGATAAGGAAAACAGGAAAGACCACGAGGTCCCCCACATTCCTGGGTCCACCTCGAGGCCTCTCCATGGACCATAAGGAACAAGAAAAGAGGAAGGAGAGTAGGAGGTTCCGATGGGATCATCCTCTAACAAAACGAGTCGGCCTAAGAGAACACGAGTTGGATTTGAAGACGTGGATTTCGGTTACATCGGGGATCGCCTTTGTATGTTCAGGGACCATCTCCCCATTGAGATCTGCGACAAGAAGAATTATTATGGACCATCACCAGTCCAAGGATGGATTAGGACACCGAAGGAAAACGCAACCCGGCGCTGGTAGACCGCTTGTAAAATAGTCTACCAACCTACTTTCTATGATTTATGATGGAGTGTAAAAATAAGTACCACGTCCTGGGTCGGATTCAGGACACCGGCGTGCGGAGAATTATCGTCCCGGGTTCCCCCCCGTCGTCATCATGTGTCGGGCTATCCACTACTTGCACCGCGGGGGTAGTGGCTGAACATATGACTGCGAAGCCCACGGACTCAGGGCTTGAGTCCGAGAAGTATAGACAAACTCCCCCCCGAGTGAGAGGAGGTGGCTCCTCGGAGGATGAGGACAGTGTGACAAGGAATAAAACCTCGGTCAGTACCAGGTCTCAGGCGGGCCACAGCAAGGAGTCGGATATGTCCTTCTACTATGTGGAGGAAGACTTCGGGAGTCGATCATAGCGAGAGCGAGAAGGATGGAAAGGTGGGTAAACCCGGCGGATTTTTCCGTAAGCCGAGTCCCACATCGAAGACAAGAGCTATTAGGAAATCTCGAAGCTCTCAGAAGATCATCGTCTCGTCTGATGAGGAAGGAGAGCCTCCTGACAAATGCTCACGAGTTCACGATGGATCACCATCTAGTAAGAGAGGACGAACGCCATTGGCCTCCAACTCTCAGGAGGCGGAGATACCATACCAAACTAGGGGATATATATCCCGCAGGGAAGCTCTACGGAAGGTTAACGAGGAACAGGAGAAGCGCCTTCAGCTTAAGCGCGAACTAGTAATTAGACAACTTTCTCGCAAAGGATTACTTACTGGCAGCAAAAAGAAGAGACTTGACCAGGATAAATATCAAGAAGACGCGGAGAGCTTGCCCTCCGACGAAATCAAAAAGACTGCAGACGAAAGGCTCTTAGAAGTAATCCGCATCGCTAAGACTTCGAACAACCTGAAGGGGACATATAAGGGCTCGCTTCAACTAATAGCACAGTCCCTATTAATAGATCTCGATGTCTTACACGAGAGATATGGTCTATCCAAGGAAGATGCTACCTCGATAGAGATTGACCTGTTGAAAAAGGAGATGGTCTCGCTCAAGGGAAAAATGAGCTCTGATTTAGAGCTCGAGAGAGCAAAGACTAAGACAGCGGAAGAACGAGTGGATGTACTCGAGGAAGAGATTTTCCAAACAAAAAGAGACATGGAAAAATTAAGGCGAGAGAACAGTTCTGCTGTTTCTAATACAATCGCTAAAGGACTAGATACCAACATCGCGAGTACCTCCAAGGGCACCTCTGTCTTGAGCCAGGCTTTGACTCGTAAGAAGTCACTGAGGTCAGGACAACAGTCTAAAAAAAAGACACCTGTCTACACTGAGGAGCCCTTGAACATCATGGACATCAGCAACGAAGAAGACACTGAAAAGGTAGTTCTCCCTCCAAGGGAAGAATGGCCACCACCGAACAGGCCTAAACGCAACAAGCCTTCGATCATCAGAGATGTGGTCTTAGGCGAGAGCGAGCGTATCGACATAGTCAACGGCAAGATCGTTGCCGTTGGAAGTTCGGAGAGGAAGGACAAGTCGCAGAAGAAGCGTACTGATAACAGGAAAGAGCCACCGGACACGCGTGAACCAAATTCGATCTCCAGCATTAAGGAGTTAATTAGGGAAGTGATTAGAGAGGAAATGGGCTCTCAGAAGATTTCCCAACCCTCTCAGAATACACCGAAGCTACGGAATAAAGCTCCTCCACGAGACAAGGCTCCTCCACGGGAGCGGAGCAGTTCGGGAAGGTCTAAGTCAAGACCGAGACTAGCTCCTCCGGTCAACGAGACCTGGACTACCATTATCGGTAGGAAGGTCAAAAAGGCAGCTGCTTCCAATATTACTCAGGGGAAACAGACAGGAAGGAATCAGACAACAAAGGACGCGGTCAAGGAAAGGAAACTACCTCGCACTGCTGCGGTACAAATCCTGATGCAAGGTGAATCAGACTCTAAGGATAGTACAAGGCCTCGCAATTATGCTGAGGTATTGAAACTGGCCAGAGATAAGATTAACGTTAATGACCTCGGAATAACAGATCTACGTTCAAGGAAGGCGAAAACTGGGGCTTTTCTGATCGAGATTCCTGGCCCCGACAACGAGGCAAAAGCCAATAAATTGGCTACTAGACTCCAGGACGTATTCAAAGGAAATGAGGACATCAAGATCTCCAGGCCTATAATAACATCCGACATAAGGCTTACGGGTCTCGATGACTCCATTACATCATCCGACCTGTGGGTATGGTTATGTAACACATACAATTGTGGGCAATTGGATGTCAGGGTCTTTTCGATAACGACGGCACGCAATGGTATGGGTACTTGCGTTGTCAAATGCCCTGTTAGGGTTGCCAATGATCTTGTTGATAAAAAGAAAATCAATTTAGGCTGGACAAATGCAAGGGTCACTCTCTTTCCCGGGCGAAGGTTGCAATGCCATCGATGCATGCAATTCGGACACGTAAGAACCGACTGTAAAAGTGCTATAGACAGGAGTGCTGACTGTTATCGTTGTGGTCAGACAGGCCATGTGGCCAAATCGTGTAAAAATGCGGCCATGTGCGCCATATGCGCTGCAGTGGTGGCCCCATCCGCGCATAGGATGGGAGGTCCGAACTGCGACCCGGACAAATACGTATCGATGTCCAGGCGGAAGGAACGACTTAATAAGGATAGGACATTGAAGCCCACTAAACCGGCTCTTCAGGGGGACAACATGATGATTCCAATCTCGGACAAGGAAGCGTGCACCGCCATGAAGGTGGAGATGCTTGAGACTTTGATTGCACAAACGTCCTCTCTGACTAACAAGGCGCCAATTGCCTCCTCTTCATTAGCTGGAACTGAACCCTCTATAGAGGAGGAGCACGATACGGTGCCCTTAAATTGGGCAGATGATTTTGAACCGGAGACAATTCCCTGGTCGGAACCACCGAAAGAAGACACTGCTGAAGTTACCAATGGCTAATTACGTTCTTCAAGCTAATCTCAATAGATCACGGAATGCTATGGACCTTTTGTCTCAGGCCATGATTTCTCACAACGCTGGCCTGGCCATCATCTCCGTACCGAACAGGATCCAGGATCACCCCTATTGGGCTAGTGATCATAATGAAGATGCGGCTATTATATCGAAAAGGAGTAAGTCTCCACTCTCCTTTGTGAAAATAGCCGCAGGGAAAGGCTATGTTACTGTGAAATGGGGCAAGATCTATGTCACGAGCGTTTACTTTTTGCCGACTCCTCCGCTCAATGAGTTTGAGGAATTGTTGGATGATCTGGGCAATCACCTCCAGACCCTATCCAACCATCCAATCATAGTAGCTGGCGACTTTAATGCCAGATCCACCCATTGGGGGGATAGGATGTCCAATCCTAGAGGAAGGCTTCTTCTAGACTAGGCATTGGCCCTGGGCCTGATCTGTATGAACGTGAGCAACGAATACACGTGTGTGAGGGCCGCCGGTGGTTCCATGGTCGACACAACTTGGATCAATCAGTGCCTTCGCGATCGCGCTTCTCATTGGACCGTTCTTCCCGAAGAAATTCTGTCGGACCACAGGCTGATAAGGATGCAAATTGGCTTCGATGAGGCACAAGAGAGACGACTAGCGATCAAGGAACTACGCTGGGTTGCCAAGAGATTGGACACGGATTCTCTTGAATCTTCGCTCCTGACTCGAACATGGCCTAAGCGAACTATGCTCGAGGAGGATCGTATTCTGGTGGATCTGAACGAAGAAGCAGAAGAGATCCAGAGCAGGATGATCGAAGCCTGTGACGCTTCTATGCCACGTGCTAAGTACAGGCCCAGAAATGCGGTTCACTGGTGGAGTCAGACCATTGCGGATTTGAGGTTTGAAGCCATGAGAGCTCGCCGTGCAATTAAGAAAGCGAGAAGGAGGAATGCCACAGTCGATCATCGATACTAAGGTTGCTGCATACAGAGATGCAAGGAAAGATCTGCGATTGGAGATAAACCGGGCTAAGGAGAGATCTTGGAAGGACCTAATCAAGTCCTTAAACGAGGATCCATGGGGCACCGCGTATCGATTGGTACTAGGCAAACTGAGATGTTTTACCGTCCCGTACAATGAATCTCTGGAGCCGGAATTTTTGAGCAGAGTTCTGGATACTCTTTTCCCACCTCCAATCAACGAGGACGCAGTTTGGATTGAAGACAAGGATCTACCGCTGACAGGAAGCGCACGTTGGACGCCCGAGCTCGACGTTTCCGTTGACGAGGTCAAATCAGCGGTTAGGAGAATGCGCCAAAAGAACGCGGCGCCGGGCCCCTCGGGTATTCCGAACCAGGCCTGGGCCTGTGCGATGGCTTCGATGTGCGCGCACTTGCAGGAGCTGATGTCATTGTGCCTCAAGACCGGCACATTTCCGAGGGCCTGGAAGCGATCCAAACTGGTCTTGCTTCGGAAGGAATCTAAACCAGCTGACGATCCGTCTGGTTATAGGCCCATTTGCCTCATTGATGAGGAGGCAAAAATTTTCGAGCGGATAATTGTGGCCAGACTTAATAAATGCATGGACCTTCCGTTCGGTGGCTCGAGACTTAACTCTGTCCAATATGGATTTCGGAAGGGACGCAGCACGATTGATGCTATTCTGCAAGTTAGGAAGTTTGTAGAGGAGTATATTGAATCCACGGGAGGGGTGGTTGTTGGTGTTTCGATTGATATATCGAACGCCTACAACTCCCTCCCGTGGGAAGGAATTGGAAGGGCCCTTAAAAACATTAGGGTGCCGGTATATATACGAAGGATCCTGAGAGCATATCTTTCGGAACGCTTCCTAACCTACACGGATGGACAGGGTATGACTCGGATGAGAGAAATTGAGTGTTCGAATTTTATAAATAAATAAACGTACATAAATATATAAAATGACGTTTTCTGATGAAAAAAAAATTAATACTGCGTAGTCTCGAACTCTCTTGGTCAGATGTAAAAGTAGTACCGTGCGCCTCAGGCCTCTCGGCCACCGCACTTCTTGCTTTATCCCTACTTATTCACAGTACTTACAGCGCAACAACCGATTGCGCAACTTTACATGCAAATTTCTCTTAAACAAGGACCCATGCACCCAAATCCTTTTACACTTTTTACACTCTCGACCCCACCTTTCGAATGGTATAGGTTATATTCCAAATGGTATTTCGCAATTCGTGCCATCTCCTTGTAAGTAAGAAAGTCTTATAGATAAAAATTTAATTGTTTTTCAGATATAAACAATTTTATACGTTAATATTTTACTAGCAATCAGTAAATTGACATCAACAATTGTATTGGATGGACAATACAAGAGATTACCTTATTGGACCTGTAATTTTCCTAAATAGGCTATCAGGTGCTATTTATCTTAATTTCTTCCTTTTTACATCGTATGCGACATCGTAGGAGCCAACTAGTCAATCATAATACTAACATACAAAATTATTTATATCACAGAAAAGGTTCCATTTTTGATCTATGTTTATTAAGGCTTTTCCCTCAATATTTGTGTACTATCTCTATATAAATGCTGAATGCATTTTTGTCAACACTTTGTATAGAACGTATTATTATTTTGTATTACGGAACCCGACGAAGATGGATCATTCCGTTTCATCGAATCTTCTCCAAAGACCCGTAAAGGTGAACTTAATGCGACCGGCTGTTTGGTAGTAAAAATCTGTGTATATAGTTGTAGTAATTGTTCTGTTGCTAGATCGCTGGTCTTGTATATACATTCTCTCTGTACTCGAGTAATCTGTAAGTGCTAGTATACATTGTGCAGATGTATCAAAATGTATGCGAATGCGCACGATACTTGTGTATATGTATCGCTAGCTTGAATAATATATTTTGTACATTAATAGAGATTTTGAAACTTATCTGATTAATTCAATGAGCCAAAATATTTATCTGGTTATCTCAATTTATTATTTACTTTTTGTTTCTTTTGTTCTTTCGTACGCAGGATTTTCTCGATTTAACGCAACTATCTGACGTGATTGTTGACCTAGTAGTGAAGTCACCATGCATGCTTCTGGCTCATTGAATTATAAGTATTTCTCTTCATCGTATCAGGTAAGTTTTATAATCTCTATTAATTAATTTTAATTTGTTCTCTCTATTTTGTATTACATAATCTTTTTTCTTCAAATTATGTTTCTAAAATGTTCCAATTTGTTTATTTTATAAGTTGAGATAACAATCAGATTGAAGAAAGAAGATTATGTTATCTTTTAAATAAATCAGTGCTCTCTGAATTAGTTGCACATTTCTGGCCGATTTCTGAGGCGACGCCTACTCTGTCCCCACTACCATTCAAGACTCGGCGGCTGATTGTTCACGCGTGACGTTTCTAATAGAGCTCTAGCTCCTGAGGCACAGGGTGAACGATTGGTGGCTCAGCGGGGAGACAGTAGGCGTCGCCTCAGAAATCGGTCCGAAATGTGCAACTAATTCCGAGCACTGGGCTGCGTTCAGGAATTACGCTTAGGTAACTCTTGGGTGCATTTTTGCTATAATATTATACGTAAAATAAACTACAGCCTAGAATTATCTAGGTGTGATTCCTGAACGCAGCCCTGTTTTAAATCGCTACCTTTTGTTTTCAGGCCTTTTCTTTCAATTTATGAAGATTAGGAATATAAATATACAGGTTGTTTACAAAAAAGTATTCAGGATTTATATGGTAAGATAGTACCTACATACTATATTAAGTAAGAAAGTCTTATAGATCAAAAATTGATTTTCAGATATAAATAATTTTATACGTTAATATTTTACTAGGAATCAGTAAATTGACATCAACAATTGTATCTGGAGACACGGTAGTGTCTCGGCGCTAAGCCAAGCGCGCGACACTGCCGTGCCTCCTTTACGCGACACGGAGATTTTTCGGGGTCGAGATGATTAGATCTCAGTAACGGCTGAACCGATCAAGTTCTACATACGCTCAATCGACAGGAAATACTTAAATTGTATAATAAAAGTGCTTTCATTTTTTTCCTACGTGCCCTACGAGCGGAGATATCGCGACGCAAAGTCCGGATCTGTGAATTTTCACGTTTCAATTTTAAGAAACGTCGTCATCATTATTAACGTCGTCGACCAGAGAAAATGTCCATCTCGTTTTTTCGATAATAGAGGGCCTTTGACTTTATGTGTTATCTCACTCTATCTATCATCTCACTCTATCTATCTATATCTAACCAGCAGACCAGTGTTGCATGGTGTATCACATATGACGCGCGCGCGATTTTAAT